TTTGAGCCCATGTAGTAACAGAATCAGGGGGAAGATAAAATAACCACTCCTTAGCCGAATCGGCTAAAGAAAAAGGAAAAACTCTAAGTTTGATTTGGTCATCGGTTACACCCTGTGGTCTCATGCTGGTACATACCATATGAAATTCCATGAGATGTTTGTGTGGATTCTCGTTTGGCAATCCGCGGAATGTAGGGAGGAGATGAAATAAGGCCGATTTTCAACTGGTATGGAGTTTCACTTTGGGGAAAATCAATGCACAAATGCCCTTGTTCGGTAGGTGCCTCGGCTAACTCCTGGATAGTAGGATCGGCCATCGGAATTGTATTAACGGATTCACATGAATTTGATTCTTCTTCTGGATTTAATTGTTGTCTCCTTCTTTCCCAAAGTGTCTGTGCGTGGAGTATCCTAGCTTTGGCTTCAATCTCCGGGTCGTACTCCACTAATGTGCCCGGAATAGTCCTGGTAATAAATAAAAAACAAACAAAAGTTAGTAACTTTGGCGAAGTCTCGGCAACGGCGTCAATTTGACAACTGTCATTTCGATGTCAAAATAAAATTCCTTCTTCTTGGATAATAAATAAGGAAATTCGTAGTATAGAGAAGTAAGGGTCGAATCCACAGGGACTTAGAAAATTCTTAATTTATGTCTGATTGGTTTACTCCAGGCGTGAAAATAGTAAACGGGGAGTTTGGTAAATATATATTTAAATAATAAAAGCAATTAAATAAATAAAAGTAATTTAAGTAAAAAAAAGAGAATAAAGATTGTGAATAAATACGGTAAAAGTAGCCTCAAGCCTTGCTTTAACTTAATTCCCCTTTGATCATCGAATTAGATTTTCCCTCCAGGATTCACGTCGGTTACTTTGTCTACAAGGGCAATCCCCGTGACTCTATCTTGTATACCGAATACCCAAGGCAATCTTTGATTCTGGCTTCGAAAATTGATTCTAACAACATCAATTTTCGTAGATCATTTACCGTTTAAATTCGTGGCGTCCGACTCGGATTGTTGCTTCTATAACCGTCAATTCCGATCTCATATCCCTCTTGGCGAAGTTATCTTGCCAAGTGTGTTCCCAGGAAGTCGAATGTGTTTTCAATAAGCCAAATCTTCCAATTTGATTATCTCCCCGGCAACGACATCAATTTGACAACTATCATTTCGATGTCAAAATAAAATTTCTTATTCTCGGATAATAAATAAGGAAATTCGCAGTATAGAGAAGTAAGGGTCGAATCCACAGGGCTTAGAAAATTCTTAATTTATGTCTGATTGGTTTACTCGAGGCGTAAAAATAGTAAATGGGGGGGTTTGGTAAATAGATATTTAAATAATAAAAGTGATTAAATAAATAAAAGCAATTTAAGTAAAAATAAGAGAATAAAGATTCTGAATAAATACGGTAAAAGTAACCTCAAGCCTTGCTTTGACTCAATTCCCCTTTGATCATCGAATTAGATTTTCCCTTCGGGATTCACGTAGGTTACTTTGTCTACAAGGGCAATCCCCGTGACTCTATCTTGTACCGAATACCCAAGGCAATCTTTGATTCCGGCTTCGAAAATTGATTCTAACAACATCAATTGTCGTAGATCAATTACCGTTTAAATTTGTGGCGACCGACTCAGATTGTTTCTTATATAACCGTCAATTCCGATCTAAAATCTCTCTTGGCGAAGCTATCTCATCAAGTGTGTTCCCAGGAAGTCGAATGTGTTTTCAATAAGCCGAATCTTCCTCCCACATGTTTAATCGCAACAACAATCTAGACCAAAGTCTATCTTTGATTTTGAAAACTGTTTTGATTTTGAAAAATAAGCGCAGAGATTGAGAGAGATATTCTGAAGATATTAAGGGTCTGTTTCAATTCTCGCGTTAGAATTGAGTCATCGCTTCAGCTCTCGACTTATGAAAAATTTAGCTAAGCATGACAAAAGTCATACTTAGCATATTAAAAACAAAGCTTGAAAATAAAAGAAAAATGAAAACTTGAAAAGTAGAAAGAGAAAGCTTTAATAAAACTAGAGAGAAAAGAAGATTGTAATTTGAGTTATGAGTTTAGGCTTACCCCAAGTGGGTATTTATAGCCTCTCAAAGCCTAAGGATAAACAAAGAAAATAAAATAATCCTAAAGATAATTGTTTTTTTAATTTAAATTCAAACTTAAAATAGTCTCCTAATGTAACTATGCTCGTCCGTCTTCCAGAAGGCGTGCGGAGGAAGTCTTCTAGAAACCGTTGCTGACTGGACCTTCTAGAAACTACCACGTCAGTCAAGGGGTATCGATACTAGCAGGTGGGTATCGATACCAAAGGTTTAGTATCGATATTGAAAGGTCAATATCGGTACCAACAAACATTTTTGGATAAATAATCCAAGGATTATAGGATCAGACCCGAGGTACCCCAAATACTCTCTAATATAGAAAATAAGACTTCAAGCAAGAACAATAATAATAATATAAGAACCGTAGAAACAGTAATAGCTAGGTTTACATAAAACTGGCCTTGTTTGATGCTTGGGAAACAATCATAACACCCGAGTTACTCTTACCAAAAATACCATGAAAACTACTTAGTATGCTTTAACTCAACTCTTAAGCTAGAATGCATTTCTAGTTACCCAAAATTGGTATAAAGAAGTTGTAAATGTGTTACCTTGAATTCTTGGCTACTAGAAATGCCCTCAAATCACCCAAGGGACAACTTCTCTTTTCCTCTTGCCTTTGAGTTCTCTATCACTTCTTTCACTAATCAAAGGTAAAGAAATGAATTATTAACTTAACTAGGTGGTTGAATTAAGGTTAAGAAACACTTTTTATAACTTGAATCTGCTAAAAACAAGCTAGAATCCATAAATTCTCTTAAACCTCCCATAAACCCATTTTTGAAAACTAAGTGTAAAACTTGAGAAATAGGGCTTAAATTGAAGCTCTTTGATTGAAGATTACCATGTTACCTTATCTAAACTCAACTAGGCTTGAAATCCTTGAAACTTTCACTTTAAGGAGGAAGGAGAAGAAAAGAAATATGAGATCAAGAGAAGAGAAGAGTGTTTGGTGAACTAATAGGGGGAGTGGTCCACGTAACAAGGCATAAAATAGGGGGTTTCAACTTTTAATTTGAATAATGGTTAAATTGTACTTTTGGTCCCTCTTCTTTTTATTTCATAAAATACTCATCACTCTTCTTTAACTATCTTGGGCAACAACTCAAGCCCACTATCACTAAACTTGGTCTAAACTATTCTAATGGTTCATTTGTGCTCAAAATATGGGTTTCGAGTTGACTCGAACTATTAATCCGGGATTTGGGGCGTTACACTATTATAATATAAAAAAATTGTTTTTGTGATATATTAAAAATGTAATTTAAAAGAGATTTGTTAATTGATTGAGTAATTAAAAATACTTATATGGTCTTATTTTGTATCTTTAATAAAAAAAATTGTAATTTAAAAGCTATTTTATGTTTACTAAAGTTAATTAACAAAATTTGGCTGTGTAATCAATCATTCAATGCCTTGGAAATTCTAGAGACTCGTTTAATAGATTTTTTTCTTTCAAAAAGCTTTGGAAATTAAGGAATTGTGTTGAATATTTCATTCAGTAAATCTAAAGAATGCGGCGAAAATCCAAAGGCAGTTTTCATATGCTATAGGCAGGGGTGAGAATTAGGTCGAATTAAGTCAAATTTTTTGAGTTATTCGAGTTGATGAGTCGTATTTTGTGATTCAAACTTAACTTGAATTTTTTTTAAGTCAAGTAGAATTTAAGAAAAAATTCAAGTTTCTATACAAATTTTATTATAATTATTTATAGTATTTTGATAAAGATTTTTTCAATTTTCCGATTTTCTCTAATCATATATATAGCTATATATTCGTATTCTTTTCACATTATAATATTATTTAATATATCAAATGTAATCTAAAATTATAAAATATATTTACAATATTATATTTTAAAGAATATATTTTGAGCGTAAAATGTTGATGAGAGTATAGAGGAAAGGAATTGATGGGAAGAAAGAATTTGTAAATAGTTATAGTCAAAATACCAAATACGAATTGAATAAATAGGAATTGAAGTTACATAGATATTCTATAGTGGTATAAGAGCATGTGGTTCAATTTTGATGAAAATGGACATAAAATGAATGATGAATTGAAGAAATAAGGAAGTTATGAAAAAAATGAGGAATTAAATTAAAAATAAAAAAATTGGTATCAAAAAGAGGAATCTAACGCACATAGGTATTCTAAGATGGTTTAAGAGCATGTGATTCAAATTTGGTATAAGAAATGAACTTAAAATGAAGGAGAAATAGAATGAATAAGGAAATCAGAGTCTAAACCGTAAAAATATCAAAATAGTTAGCCAAAATTTTAATTTTTTGAGTAACACGAAATTTTCAAATTTTAACTTAACTCGAACTCAAAAAATGCACGGCGATAACTCAACTCGAATAACTCTAATTGAAAAGAAATTTGATTTTTTTAGTCGAGTAGAGTCGAGTTTTGCTCACCCATAACAAAATGAATGGTGCATGTGTTTTAGCTATTAAAAAATAAAATTAAAACAAATATTGCACGGTAAGAAAAATGGATGAAAAATAATTATTGTATTGAAAAGTGGCAAAGAACAAAGAGTATTGATTTCTTCTTCCTTTGTACATAAAGAAAAACAAATTATAAATTTAGACTTTTCTTTTCAGTTCAGTACAAACTTTATGAATAGTAGTTGGTAGAAAATCATCTTGAGAAGAGAGGTCAAATTTTGAATGTTCAAAGTGGGATTGCATCGATCAACAAAGAAGTGATCCCTCCTTTAGCAGCTTTCCCAACATGCGTGTAACCATCGCCTTCTCTGTAAAGCACATCCCATAACCCTCGCAAGGTTGAGACTCCGGGAAAGAACCGGTGTCGGCATTTCCGTCGGTTTCAAGAACTCTTCGTTTACGTCTTTCCATGAAACTCTCGATGTTTGTTGAATTCATCGTATGCTTCTTGCGCCGTCACGCCGTACTGTTCCATGTAACACTCGATGGCCGAGCAATCGTCTTCTCTCCTGTGGTTGACTGCATATGGGACATGTCTTCATTTAGCAAATGCATACCCCAAAAGTTTAGAATCTAGGAATGGGTGGGTATATAGCAAGTACCTGTGTTCAGCAATGTCGTCCATGAACCTGCAAATAATGGTGGAGGCTTTGATGATCTTAGGGTCATTGGCTGCCCATTTGAAGGTCCGGGGGTTATAACATCGCCCATCCCGACGAACGCCGTGATGGCAAGCATGGCATAGCCGGAGGTCGGCAATGCATTATCTCTAACTCCTCGAACGTTGGTTTATAGTTTAGATGTGTCCATTTCGCCTCCAAAAGGTAAGCTTGAGCAAGGCGTATCATCTGATGGTTGAGAGCATCAAGTTCACAATATAATTATTATCGAATTTTTTACATTTTTTTCCAACATGATCGTATTGTTTACTTACCGCTTTTCTAGCGTACTCGACTCGGTATTGCCTCTCTTGATCTACCAATAATTGTTCCATTTTCATAAACTTCCAACAGTGCCTTGTAGATTATTTGCATGTACTCCGGGAGTTGATCCTGCATTTAAGATCCCACCTGAAACCAATGTGAAAATTAATTTCAAACCCAACTCTTCATTCGGTCATAATATCCGACAAGTCTAGGATTTAAATATCACAAAATGAATGTTAACTTATAATGCAAGAAATCCAACCTTTCAATTGCATCTGTATAGGAATGAGTTCATCATATGTAGCGAATGAATCATATGTGTCATCCACAATGGAAGCCATTGCTATGACTTTTGTCAAAAACTTTCTCCCAAGAGAGTATTGGGGTTCAAAGTAAACTCCCATAATCCAAAAATACCCTTCCACCACTCTGTCTTTGCAAATGGCAGCTTTCTTGTAAAGTCCAAATCCTTCCACCACCTTCAAAGAATCATAAAAATCTGGCTTTCAATTCATTTGTAAGAAATAGAAAACTAAACAACAACAGGATGATTTATGAATAAAGGGTTAGGCTTCATAGCAAAACTTACCTACAGATCACTTAGCTCTTTCCTATGCAAAAGTTGCAGCAAGTTGAAATCAATCTTTGCGAACTGAAGCAGTGCTTTGTTATGGGATTCGATGTCTTCATATACGGAAATGAATTTCCGGGCCTCAACCCTCGGCAACCCCCTTCGGACGACTGCTTTAAGGCGTGATCGACCTGTTCCGACAGTGGATGGTCTAATGCTGGTAATGAGAGGGTAAGTTGAGCTTGGTGAAAGAAATGGCTTCCTCAAGTATATCATCCCCTGGAATCCTCATATGGGAAGCTTCGTAAAGTTCCAACAATCCTCGCACATCACTCGCCGGTGATGCCTTGAAATTCCCTTCCACATCCTTGAACATGTTGAAGCCTCTGCTCCACCCACCCCAAGTCATCATCAATACATCAATATATTTATATTTCTAAGTTTTTGTGTGTTGATAATTACGAATTACGGTTCAATAATCTTAAAAGTATGAAAGTTCAAGACTAAATTACCGCAGGAAACACGGTAGCCATGTTGTCTTAGTAATCGGAATCGAAGAGCTGTGGTGTAGAGATCATACTCAACATCATCGCTCTTCATGTCATGGTAAATATTCTCAAGTTCATCGTCAATCTCTTTCTCGAAATGATAACTTACACCCATCTTGAACTGCATCAATGAAGGCCAGCTTTTGGTTCAAATCATCAACGGGTTCCACAATCATCTTCCTCACTTGTTCTTTCAATTCTTCGAATGTAATTCAGTTGCAGCATCAATATCCTGCTCACGTAGGACAATCAAATCTCAGGAATAAATCATAAAGATCGATAAAGAAAAATGTAAAAAAAAAATAAAAGAGATCATAGATTACCATATTGGGACATTGGATGAACATATCACCCCAAATGCCGGGATGAAAGTCGGCCTTGGGTCGGTTTTCGGTGTCCGACGGAATGACGGAAAAGGGCGAAGCAGGAACTTGGGAAACTGTGTTGAAGCCATTATCAAAGATATCTTGAAGGAAAAGATTAGGGTTTTCGGAAGCAAATAACACCCAGATTAGTTGCTGCCTCTGCCTACTGGTAGAAGGTTATAAAACAGAGATTTGGGACGAGACTGAGTAAGCAATTGTTGCATGTATTTATATATAGAAGCTCGTTCATTAAAGTCAAAAAGGAGAACGTAAATTGAAATATTTTTATTATACTTGAAGTATAAAATATGCAAATATACTGACAAAAGTCGTTCATTTTCTTTCTACTTTCCCTCCTTCAATGTTGGTGCTATAAAACATTTTTAATATATTTAGTTTGACAGAATTGAGTCATGGGTAGATTATTGCTGATGTACTAATTTGTTGAATTTCTCGGGAAACAAACAGTGAAAAGTTGGTGAAGCCTTTAAAGTATAAAGCAATGCATGCATCCCTGCAGAATTAGATTTTGTAGTATTTAAAATCTACAGATGAATAATAATATTAAATAATTCCACCTTTTGCTAACTCTTTTTCAGCAATGTTTATGACAGTCAATTTTGACTCAATTTAAAAATAATTCATCTCAATTCAAATTGATTAATTCTACCTATAATTACTACAAAAGAGAAAAATGTTGGGCATGCTTAAGGATATGAACTCTAATTTATCTTTTAATTTAAACTTCAAAAACTTCAAAAATATTCAAATGAGTACTAATTTATGAATATTAAAATGATTTGAATCAAATTAATTTTTTTTGATATTTTGAATATTTTTGAATCATAATTAATTTTTTTTGATATTTTGAATATTATTTTAATAAAAGATGATTGTATCATAAAATATTGTAGTCACCACTCGCCACAACTTTTTGATATTGTTTAATATATAGCGAATTAAAATAAAGTAAGCAGCCATGTATTCTTTCTAAATATATATATATATATATATATATATATATATTTAGTGTTATTAGTATTAACAATTTTAATATTTTATTTAACATTATATATCTTATTTAACCTTTAATATTTATTAATAATTTATTAATGTAATTATATCGTATGATTTGATAACAGTTTCCGAGAAATTCCCCTGCAAGTCAAGCGTAGAAAATCGTATCAGTCTAAAGGACCAAATAATTAAAAAAAAAAATCCAAACACGTCTCGACAGCCTTTCTTGATCAAACAATTCAACAGTACCGCTTTATATACTATAATAATTTTTTATGCTTTGTAATTTACTTTAAAATATTGCGTATTTCTATAAATTTTAATATATTTTATTATTTGTATTGTCAAAGCAAATTTCATCGTCTTTTATATAAAAATATAATTTATTATTATTTTTTTATAAATGCATTATATCATAGACTATTAATGATAATATATGTTTTAAAGACTTTCAACTATTTAATAATGAATACTATGTTCGAACTTATGACCTCTAAAAATAATTTTCCTTTAAACTTTAATAATTGGCATAATTTGATTTGTGCAAAAGAATTAGAAAATAAATTAGGAGTAAGTAATTTTATTCAAAATAAAAAATACCTCAAATTACAATAAAGATTTACAATCACAATCATAAATTAATTACTGATTTTTTTATAACTATCAGGTTGTGATACGTGTCACTTAATAGAAAAAACTAATGTCGTGACGACATGAACATCTAAAGGGCTAACGACGTGTGTAATGTTAGGAACAAAAAATATATAATTTAAGTATTTATTTGGGCATTAAGCCTTAAGTTAAATATTTGTTACATGTCATTATCATCGTATTAATAGATTTATGTAAAGTGGCTGCGTAATTAATGATTCAATGCCTTGGAAAGTCTGGCATCGTTGTGCATTCCAATATCCTTTGGAAATTAAGCAATTGTAAGCATCAGGCAAAAGCGAAAGCCAAATTTGATTGGATCCACTAAATGTACGGCGCATGTGTTTTGATAGATCATTCATAGACTAATTTATAAAACGTTAAATTATGTATATTAAAAATGAAATCAACTATATGTAAGGTTTTTTTCCTTTTATTCTTGTCTGTTTTCCTACAAACTGGAAGAATAATATTAATAAAGACTACTTCGTGACCATTTCATTTGGTGTTACTGAATTGATAGAATATATAAGTAATATGGACCAAACTGCACATCAGTTTTTCCATTAAATATTAACGGTTAGTGACTTAATTGAATACATTTAAATGCACACATCAGTTTTCCATTAAATATTAACGGTTAGTGACTTATGAATACATTTAAATAGTTGAGTGGTCTGATTAATAAAATTTCAAAAATGATGGTCAATTTATAATTATATTTGAATCGAATTTTAATTTTTTAAATTAATAATGGTGTTCAACTATACTCGTTGTGAATTGTAGAATTTTCCTATCTTTTATCATCTTATAATACATTTATCATATTTCTTGTATAAAATTTCCTTTTTTGTTAAATAGATCATTTCCATTTTATTTGTATTTAATAAGACTTTATTTCAAGTGAAAAAGTATTATTTTTAAATAAGCCTTATTGTAAAATTTTCACCCTTAGAATTAAAAAGAAGAAGAAGAAGGAATTACCTAAATCCCTACTGAATAGTAAATATAATTTTTAAGATTTAATTATAAAATTACATTTTAAATTTATTATGAATTGGGCTATCAAACCTAGTTTGGGCTTGAGGAGGGGATTTGATCAGAAATTTTTCATACTGTAACTTGACCATTTGTCACCTTTAGTTAATTTATACTAAAAAAAATATTTAAGAACAAATTCAAGTATCTATGAATGTCCTTATTTAAAAAAAGTGTCTATGAATGCCACGTGCTTATTTAACATAAACTAAAGTGAAAGTCTATTTATTGAGTGAATAATAATACAATAAAAGTTCAGAGATATTTACAAAACAAAGAGTGAAGATTGCCTAATGGTATGAGAAACCATCAGAAAATGCCTCTTTATGTATTAAAAGATTGTCGTCATCCATTGCTATACCAAAGAAAAAGTTATCTATATCTCTAACCTATTCGTAAAAACAATGAAGCGATTATTTCTACATTACCTTTGTGTGTATCTCGGTTTTAGCAGTGCCAAGCGAAGCCGATATAAGATTCCGACCCTTCCATCCCAACAACATAGCACCATCCTTCTCCGACAGTGTATAATGTTTAGAGTAGCACTTCAGTAGGCTTCCGATCACCGAATTGACGTAAGAGCTTAAAGGGTATTGTCGAAATCCGGCCATTGTTACCTGGACTTCCATTTCCCGAAGAGCTCATGGCGTCCACTCTCTCTTTTCCCTCACAAGCGATGATGTTGACGATATCCCGAGCCAGGCAGTGCTGCTCCACGTTGATTCTCTTTTCCATCCCTTGGAAGTGTCTCGTCCATGGACTCAAACATTGCTAGATAGTACTCTAGAGTCTCGATGAACCTGGGGACGAAAGGGGCTGTATTTGTGTTTGATTCTTGCTCTACCAATGTGGTAACCTTGGGAGAAAGTGACTTCACCAATCGTAGAAGCCCATCCCTTGGGTTGTTCACATCGACGCTCTCG